CGAGTATGGCCGTCTTGTCTTTTTCCTTCTGTCCGACATCGCCTTACATAGAGCCTAAGTACATAGCACTGATGAGCCTTACAAGATCTATGTAACTCTCTTCACCCCCAAAGACTTGGCGAGTATGGCCGTCCTGTCTTTTTCCCTCGTATCGACATCGTCTTACGTACAGCCTAAGTACATAGAACTGATGAGCTTTACAAGATCTATGTAACTCTCTTCACCCTAAGTATCATGAGCGGTGGGGGGAGCGTCGCCAGAGCGAGAAGAGGAGGGAGTTCCATGAGCGGTGGGGGGAGCGTCGCCAGAGCGAGAAGAGGAGGGAATTTCTTCGAGAGACTGTGATTCAAACAGTCAGCAATGCACCATGTATATCCGCGTCGGACTCACCCCTCCGGCCGTCCCTTCAGTCGCCTGTCTTTCTCCCATGATTTCGGCTACCGAGGGTACCGTGGACGTGCTTTCGACCGGAGATGGGGGGTCGCCGGCAGTCACGACATTGGCACCCGTAGCCCCGACGTCGCTGAGCAAGAACTCGTATTGGTCGTAGAGGGGAAAGTGCTTGTCGCGGTACTTTTTATGGCCGGGGTGCGCCTGTAGAAACCATGTCAGTCTAACACACCATCGATTCCAAGCAAGAGCCGACCCACCTCGAGATAGCGATCCCAAACCTCATCCGGCGCGGTCACCATACAATTCTCATCATCCCATCCCCATCCTGACGTGCTCTTGAACCTCAGGTCACGCATAACGGCCCAGTCTCTAGACAGATGCGCGTGCCGATCTTTGGCAGAGCGCAAGGTCTTGGGATTGCCGGAGGTGGGAGGGTTGACGGCGTTGATGACTCTTGTCCAGACACTAGCCTTAAAGCCATTGTCGGATGTCTGGCCGTCACTACAAAGTCACGATGTCAGAGGCTGTTCGGAGCAACAAGAGAAAGAGACTATGCGCCTTACATCTTGGCATCGGTGAGGACACCGAGCATGGTGGAGTCGTCTGCGTCGCTCCAGACGCAGTACTTGGCAACCTTTGGGGGATCAGCCTGTCCAGAGACCTGGCTGGCATCATATTGTGACTGCCTCTGCGTTAGGTCGACAGTGGTACCGGTGGAAGGGGTTTGCAAAGCTTCAGTGGGGGTGGCAGGGATGCTGTACGAGGCGGCGCGCGAAAGAGGAGGGGTGGTGCTGGACATGGAGAGGGCTGAGGCTGGGGAGGGTAAGTTTGGTGGAGAGAGGCTGTGTAGGGGTGGACGAGAGAAGGCATGGCACGAATCTTCTCCTGTCTGATCTATATCATTCGTTGTTGAGCAGGGGCAGAGTGAAGAAAGAAAGAAAGACGCCTCGTCGTGCGGTAGTAACGTTACCTGAGACGCACGGCTGATTTCTCCTTATGGATAAAGTATCTTGGAAACAAAACGAGTCGGTGGAAAACTCGCTGAAACCTGTTCGGGCACTGGACGACAATCCAGACCAAGATTCACAAGTCGTCACCCCCGAGAAGGTGCCACACTCGTCGCCTCCATTCTCGACGCAGCCCGAGTTCCACAATCCAAAACAACCGAACACCCCCTTTAAGGAATAGGAGTCATAGCAGTTAGTTACCAGTCAAAACGATGTTCTGTACTCCATGTCATCCATCATTCCTCAGCTTCATACTACACCTGCTGCATGATATTTTCGCCGGCGGCACAAAAGCAAAAAGAAAAAAAAAAAACGACGGCACCCGGGATTCCCAGGTGGTCCCCCACCCTGGTACTAACCGAGCGCTCTCCTAGTTGACTTCGCGGATCAGACGGGACGCGGTACTTTGAGGAGGCTATGGCCGTCGATGTTAGTTGGACAGCAAGTCACGTCAAGTCGCAACATGCTTGAAGAGGGACATGGTCGTCCAACATTAATAGTGATTAATAGTGATTTGTGCGTAACGGCAGCTGTACTCGCTGTGGCTATGGGTTGTTTAGGTAATTCTTTCTCAGATTCCTCCTCATTTGTTCTTCTACGTATGTATGTAAGCACCATCCATCTCGGCAGTGGCAAGGATGTCCTCGAGTGCCACCTTATCGCGACGCCACATTGTCATGCAAGGCCAGGCAAGTTCGCTCATATGGCGGGCTGTGCATTGACATTGCCTCCTACGACGTATATAGTCTCCAGCGCATCTCAGCGGCGAGCTAATGCCCTGATTACCATCAGTATAACTCGAAGTGCGGATGTATATTTCGAGATGTTGAATCGACAATAGGACCTCACCCGCTCGTGTCGCGGAGATCACCGGAGTGCGTTTGTCCGACACCGACAAAAGCTGATTTCAACTGATCGCATATGCCAAGTATTGTCTGTGTTGCATCTCTACCTTCCCCTCGGCGTCCATCCATACTCCCAGAATTCTTCGACGATGTTTCAAGACCCGTTTCATGGCATCGGACGTGACATAATCGGTGGGCCCCAGCATGTTTCGGATATCTTTCAGTTCCCTCAGGCGATTGTCTCTTCTTTGACGTGTAGACGATATAATCGGCTGAATGTCATCTGTCTCAGTTTGCAAGGCACATGTACTTGTACAGCCGTTCGCTATTCCTTGTGCAGTTTGTCCATCAGTACCATTGTTTTCTGGTTCCAAGCTAAAGTGAAAAGTACGACTACTCGTAGAGTACTCGCGTATAGTAGCGAAGCCAACATCACACCTTGAAACCACTTCTCCTATACGCATATATACACTCCTACAACTTGACACGCCATGTTCTCTTGAAATCAGGCCAAAGCCCGCTCATCAACCGACACTCGCCGACGGACAGCCACAGGGCGGACGGCTGTCGGTTCCGTTCTGCAGGGGGGAGCGGGTTCCAGAATTGCTTGGCGGCGCTCGTTGTTGTTCGAGTAACCCAACGTATGCATGTGTAGGCACTCACGCAGCAGACAGCCTCAATCTTTGCGCGCACAGTGTGCATACATATGTATGCTCAGCTGATGCTCAGACGATCGACGCGCCTCGACGCGCACATCTCGGGTCTCGGGCTGGCGGGCCGTCGGCTGACAGCAGCCACCCTGAGGGCGACACACGCGCGCTCGGACACCCGAACGGCTCCCCTGGGATTCCGACAGGGTGTGCTTGACGACGGCCCTTTGAAGGAGAGCACAACAATGCAGGGAGATGCAGCGCGACGAGCGATGCTGGCGGCCAGACACACTGCCGGCGCAGAGCTCCCGCGCTTCGGCCACCCGCACCCCTCCTCGCACGTCGAGACTTTACCATCGTCTCTCCTCTGTCAACACCCCAAATCCGCCCTCTGTTTTATAAAGGCTCGACGTCTTCCCCTCCTGCTTCTTCTCCTGCCCCGGACCCCTTTCGCCCTCCTCTTCTCGCTCCTTTTCTCCTTCCTCCACACTCCTTTATCCTCTCTTGCAACAGGGAGATCAAAACGGCAACCGTAGAATACATGCCCCGTTCCAGCCGCAGCGGTTGATTTCGCACTGTACATCATATCTGTCTTATCGTGTCCCTTCTTCTGCTCTGTTACCAAGCTGTAAGCATCAAGCTGTGAGTCACAACAGCGGACTGTATTCGGGCGGTGCTGATCATCGTCCTAGTATCCGTCATTCATTACTACCCACGCTCTTTACCATTCCACCATTCACACAGGCTGTACCCATTCGCCACATTGAGGCATTATGGACTCCTCCATCTTCAATCTTCCCATGACAGCGTCGCCAGTGGGCGACAGTCCCTCCCAAAGCTCTCAAAGCTCACAGAGGGACGACGTGTCCCAATCGTCTTCCCTGTACGAGCCTTTGGGAAATTACCAGTCATCTTGGTCTCACTCCCAGCCCTCTTTCGACCCCTTCTCCGCCGCTCCTGCACCCTGCAGCCACGACTTCTTCCCAACACCCATTCAGTCGACCTTTCCGTTCGAGAGTCTCCCCGGGCAGACACCGTGGACTCAGTCCCCAGCCCCTGGCGGAACCTCCGCGACTCCCATCTATCCTTCCTTTGATGCCCTTTCCTCCCCTCCCACTGGCATCCCTGCCTCCTTCGACATGACTTCTGGCCTCACACCGATGTTTGGCGCTTTCAGCACCATCACACCTACCAACGAGTCCTTCAGCCCCGCGTCTCTTCCCACCACCTCTCGCCCAGGATCAGTGAGAGGCTACTCGGCTGGCTCTCTCCCGACATTGGGCAACCGACGGCGCGCGTCCACGATCATGTCGCTATCGTCCGCCTCGCCCGTCACTCCAGCCCACTCATACTACCCCTACCCTTCCCCACACATCTTTACGCAACCTTCGCCGCATCAGCATCTTGGGCAGGTCCAGATTCAAGGGCAAGGGCAGCACGTTGGATCACAGCAGCCGGAGAACCCACGAATCGGCCGTCTGTTTCGCCAACCGTCTGCTCCGGCATTTGGCGAGACAAAGCGGATCTTTCATCCTTCCCCTGGTCCAGCGCAAGGAGGAGACGGGCTTCACTATTACTCTGGCGCAAGCTCTGGTGCGAGCAGTATCAGCATGGGGATGGGAATGGGATTCGGTATCGGCGGGGCTATGGGCATCGGAATGGAGCCCAAGCCGCCTAGGTTCAAGCCTACCAAAGAGCAGCTCGATATCTTGATCAAGTCTTACGAGGAGGACAAGTGAGTATCTCTTATTCTATGGCTATCAAGGGAGTTGGAGAACGAGCTGACTCGTGCCTAGGAACCCCGATGGACCGACGAGAGAAGCTTTGGCAAGGCAGCTGGGACCTGAAGTACGGCCAAAGACGTTGCAGATATGGTTTCAGAACAGGTGCGCTTGTACCTCTCACACTTGTACACCAGCTGACCTTGAGAACAGACGGTCAAAGTCTCGAGCAAAGGAGCGAAATGCTGCAAACGTCACTCCTACAAAGCTATCTACCACCAGCCCGAATGCCCGCCAAGTATCAGCTGATGAGCGCATCGGTCTATCCCTGACGTCGCCCAGTTCCGCGGGTACAGAAGGAGGAGCGGGGTCGATGCAGTACCAGGCGGAGAGAGACGCGCTGAGGAGGCTCACGCGGGACAACTCTAGTAGGTCATTTCGCTTTCCATCCCAGCCCAATACTGACTGCCCCTAGCAAACTTGACTATACTACCCATCACTGTACTGTCAATCTCCAAATGGACCCGCTTTCTCACCCCGGGCACCGGTCATACCCATCCCGACCTCGGCGCAGCAGTGTCATTCTCCCTCCCCACCCCAACACTGCACTTGTACATCCTCCACGGGAGCCTCTTTCGCCTCGACATCCCCCTCTCACCGTCTACGATCCAAGGGCTGCAGGCGACGTCGAACCCGGGAGTGAGCTTGGAGAGTGTTGCTGTCAGATTTCAAATGATCGAAGGCGGGGAAGAATTTTGGGGATGGCAAGATGGAATGGGGTGGGTGAGGGTGGGGGATTTTACCGGCGGCCAGGCGGGGGAGGGTGGAAAGGTCGAACTGACAGGTTCGAAGGAGGTAAGTCGTGCTATCTTGCGCTTGCTCGGTTGCTGACCACATGACAGGTGCTATTGCCAGCATTCTCTCGAGTCCAGCAGATCGTCAATCCCACTGCTTACCCCACACCCATCTCCAGCGCCGACCTTCTCTCCCGCCACCACACCCACCCCCCGACCGACCCCTCTCCATCCCCATGGCGTTTCCCAAACTCCGCCTCCCCCTCCAGCACCCCTACCCCGGAGCTGGCTGGCCCGCCCAGCGCCGAGCTTCAGCCGAGGAAGAGTCTTGGTATATTTACTGGCATGTCGCACCAGCGCCAGAGGAGTTTCTCTCAACCTCAATTCCCTACCACCTCATTCCTCGCCGAGCTTGCGGCACCTCCCCTCCCACTTCCACTTTCACAAGATAGCAGTACAAGCGGCCTACAGACGGTGTTGGGGACGCAGCATCAGGGTATGGAAAGTACCTCGTCTGTCGAAAGCGGCGACGTTCCAGAGACGGACTTGTCGGGGCTAGAGTGGCTATCAACAGGCGGGGAGACTTCTAGGAGTAGCTATGAAGCCGAAGAGGTAGAGGGGACAGACTTTGTCAAGCAAGAGAGGCTAGAGGGACGCAGCCCATAGATGTTGTGTAGATAGAGAGGGTCATGTCTGAGGTGGGCGGGTGTACGCTGTGGAAGTGTAGCTCTGGCAGCCGCTTCATGGCGGTACGATAGATGTGCAACGCTTGATCTCTTGTTTCCACTGTATATAAGGGGTATAGAGTACTTTGGGTCATTTCCGGTATCTTTCTGTTCAAATATGTCTATAGTGGCATCAGCATGAATCAACTTGCATACCACCTTGCTCGTTTTCTCAAAGATCTGCGAGATTTGGTGTAGACGCCTACATGACCAAGTTGGATGATAAGATGTAGAAGTGGCAGGGATGCACATACACCCCGACATGATCGCAAGCATTATTGGGCAACGCGGAGCTATGGTCAACGCTGATGGAGGCCGTGCGGTGTACCTGTCCCAAAGATTGATTCAAATTTTCTGCACAACTGTCCTTTCGTACTCTACCACTCGCAATATCTCTACCAGCCGACAAGACACCATGTCGCCAGATCGCCAGACGCACCAGACGACTCTTTTTGCCCGAAATGCCCCCCGCCCCCAAGAATCACCATCACGACCCTCCATCCCCTCCCACCCGAGGTCATCTCCCTCATATTCCGCCACTTCTTTCTCCTCGACCACCAGTACTGCAAACACCATCTCATCCAGTTCATCAGCCTCTCCAAGATCTTCTACGCCCACCACGTTGCGAGGCTGTACGAGCAGGTCCACCTCGACAACACGAACTGCGATAGCTTTGTAGAGGGGCTATGGATGCACTCGACATTGCACCCAGCCTCAGGAGCGGTCAAGAGCCTGTTTTTCCCGGGGTGCATCTTGGAAAGAGGGCACGATGGCCAGCCAGTGTGGCCGAACGACCTTGTCCAGCAGGTGTATACGTACTGCCCCTCCCAGCCCGCCGGAGGCGACGAGACATTGGTGCCTTTCCAACTCGACCCATTTATTCGCAGAAACCTCCTGCTACGACAATGTCGTAGACTGTATCTGGACAGCCGGGGCGCTCTCGAGATGTTGCGCCACGCCAGCGGACACGTACAATGGAGGCTCGGCAATCTGCCCAAGTCTGTTGGGGTATGGAAGAAAGAGCGCTTCTCTGTTATGGGATGGCTGCAAGAGCCGCTGCTCGCTTCCGTCTCCCATGTTGCGCTTGGGCAAGTCTTCGAGTCGACTGATTCTCCAGCTCCAGCAGCGTCTCCTCTATTCGGACCAAGTCTCAAACATATCTGTGTCCTGAGCCCCGTCAAAGGTCCCAACGAATACAAGCACCCCAGCCGCCTCTGGTCGCCCCTGCAGCGCGAGTTACTCGAGAGCTTTGTCCGACACGCGCCGTCTTTCGCTGCTGGGTCTACCAAGGACGGATCAACTTCCCTTACACTGCATAACGCTGTACCTGGCAGTATCAGCAAGTCATTGGCCGACACTATGAGGTATGACATGCCGAGGAAAGACGCGTGGCGCAGGTGGAAACTGCAAATACTCCACACTGCGCCAGTGATGAGCAAGTATATTCTCGCTCTGAGAGATGCTGTGGCTCTGGGTAAGCTCGGACCTGATGGGTGAGCTGTAATTTGATGCTACGATGATGAGTCGCTGAAAACCGTCATAGTGATTGGGCACCCCGCAAGAAACCGTGGAGGCTTTGCTTTACAAACATCGCTCCCCATCCCTCTCGCCTCGATATTCCTCAGATGCTAATCGACGATTTCACTCGAAAGACCCAGTTGGTCTTGAGCGATCTGTGCATGGCTGCGTTCAGAAAATGGTTTTGGGAGACGGTGAGCTTTGAGGGTCCCGGTGCTTGCGAATGTTGTGGTGGTGTGTCTCAAGAGCGAGTGCAGTCTGCTGTGAGTTGTAATTTGTCGTTCCAAAAGTGACTGTGACTGACCTGAGATGAGCAGCCTCAACCTCTTGAGCTATACATCAACAAGCCGCCGAGGGACAATAGGCAAAAGAACAACCAGCAAAAGAACAATAAGCGGAAAAACAAGCAGAGCAAACCCAAGAAGAAGAGAAAGAATGCAAAGGACATGAAATGGAAAGAACAAGCGACGAAGGGCTGGAAGGTGTGTCACAATCACTGGGTCGTCCGCCGACTGTGCTAATGAATCACCGTAGAAGAGACGAGTCGTGTACTTCGATCGCTAGTCGTTCTATGTTGGGGCTATGGACAGCTAGGATCTAACTTGCTAGGAGGACGCATGAGCTCGGATGGAATAGAAGAATCGTGCAGGCTGGAATTATGTGGTGGGGTGCCGGGTGCTCGAGAGTTGGCAGTAGAAGAAACAGGCTGCGTTTTCTTTGTAGGAGATGTGAGTTTCTTGTATGCACGATGCCCGTGGACTGTTGTGATATGTCTATGAAGAAAGAAATGCGGCCCACGCTGGAGTTTTCCATAGCGATTTTCCATACGTCTTCTTCTTCCTTGTCTATGGAACCTATAAAACCTTGCACCACGTTATGAGACCTTGAAAAGCTGGAAATTGACCGCATATACCGTCTTTCCACGTCTTTATGTTACCACTACAAGGTTGTTCAAACAGCCCCACGACAACCGCCCTGTGAAAATGCTCCATGTCGGTCTCTGTCGCCTCTCTCCCATCCACCTGGGACGCCTGTGATCCGTGGGCCACCCACCTTAGGGATGTCGTCTCCTCGGTACTCGAGTACCCTCTCTCACCGGCGCCTCAAACTATCTCCCCAGGTCGAAGGAACTCAAGATTGTTTAGTCTTGGGTCCGGGGGTGTCTCTGTCTGCTAGCTGAGCCCCCTACCTCCCACCTCTTGGTATCCACTCTCCCCGCCACATCCTCTCTGTAGGAATCTGGAGCCACCTCGATGCCACCCTCGATCTTGCTTTCGTGGGCTTACTTAGCCCTGACAACAGGGAAGAGGCCTCATTCATGGTAAGCTTGGCATTCCTTATCGCCCCCTCAGTAAGCTGATGAGCTCTGGCTTGGACTGCGTCGCTGAAAAGAGCTCTTCCTCTTCTCACCGCTGATGCCTGAACGTCCGCAAAACAATTGGTAGGCTCTCCACAGGATCCGGCCACAGGTGTTGTGCTGACCAGCACTTAGGAAACACAATTGCTGAATATCGGTAATATGTCGCGGATCAAGGGCAGCTCCCGGGAAGGTTGAGCTGCCCTGAGCCCAAATGGACCAAGGGAGGGAAGGCGTCCATGAAGCAGGGGACCGGTGCGATGTGGAACACCCTTATTTATCAACACGGGGATATCCTATGGGAGATGTTGCTAGAGACCGGGACAACCGAGGAGAGGGACCTTGAGGAGACCTTGCATCACCTACTTTGCCTTTGTCCTCTCATGTGCAAGGCTATACATGACCACTCCACCGACCCCCTCTATATGGTGAAGGTGCCCTCTCTCCCGAGGCATCAGCAGCCTTCTCCCTTCTCAGAAGGTTTGCTACTTCGGTGAGACCAGGCAGAGCATGGAAGATCAGCGGTGGTGAGGCAAGGTTTTTGAATGTTGGTCATGTTGTAAAAGTATAGTCTATTCAGGCGATACCCAGGCCAGCCTCCTCATGTATCACTTCACCAAACACGGAACATTTTTACATTGTGCACACGATCTGCCACTTGGCGTGCCACCTCTACGTGTGCAGCTCCCTTTCAAACTTCTGGCTAGCCGTCCATCTGATGCTGATTAGTCTATACGGGTCATCAAGTCGCAGATTACGTGAGTAGGAATGCGATCGTGAAAGCGGAGAAGGCGAGGAAGAGATTTGAGAGGAAGACGAGTAAGAAAGCGGTCACAAAGGTCGCCGTCCTGTCTATATAACAAATGCATGCATTAACGCTAGTCAAGATTATTGAAGCCTGATCGCCCGTACTTCAACGTCCCGGGCTTCTTCCTGAGAATGGTATGGTATTACTCCATCAACCGTTTTCGATGCCGCCACGTCGCCCAAGTTATTGCGCTCGGGCCTCCGAGCTGCGGTGGAGATGTCCGCCTCAGCATTTGCCTGTTGCTGTCACTTGCTCGTCCATGCCACGAACGCCCTATTTCTCTTTTCTACTCCACAAAAAGATGTCCTCTTCGACCACCGCAGCAGCTCAGGCCAAGAGCGTTCCCAAGCTAAACGTCGTCATCCGGTAAGCAACCTAATCCCTGCATTTGCATCCCTAATCGTTCATCGCAGCTGGAGCGCAGACCCCCAACAAATTTGCCGCCTGCTTTCTATCATCAAGTCCAACCCCCTATGGCGTCAAGCATGTTTCCCTCAAGGCATCACCACCGTGCCCAAGCTATACAAGATCTATATCGACATTTTCCTCGTCTTCTGCAACAATGACCCAGCAATCAAGGCCGCGGAGAGGGAAGGACTTGTCCAGAGAGTGAAAGGCAGCGGTGGGAAGAAAAAGTGGGAAGCGACGGAGCGATTCAGCAGTAGGGTGGGAAATCCCGTAAGGAGAAAGATAGACTCGTAAATATCTGCTAGAGTCTTCAGCGTGTCTTCGCTTACACCTATGAAGATTGAAGAGCGCCTTGAAATCCGGGACGTACACCAGCACTCACAACTTTCGTCCGTCCTGGAAGAGTTGGGGCGACGTGCCCAATGGCATTAGGGGTGAGTTCTGGATATGAGTTCGAAGTGGTCAAATCTGAGGTTTTGACTGATATACCTCATAGCTACTCTCCAAGCTGAACATCCCTATTATTTTCAGCTATTGGAACTCGCCCAGTCATCCTCCGAGTTCGTCCTCCCCCCGCGCTCCGCAAACGTCGAAGCAAGCCAGTCCGGCCGCAAACGCAAACTCCAACCGTCCCTCGACGTCGAAGACGATAGAGGCCCTCGAGTGGTTAATCACAAACGCCCTCGGACCCTTTCACCCTCTTTATCCTATCAAACCGAGAGTGTAATGGAGGCAGACGATAGTGGCAACGATGATACAGAGCCTCCGGCTTCGAGAAGCAATCAAGCCCCATCATCTGTCCCCGTGTTGTCCCCTCGCTGGAATACAGATCCCCACGCCGAAGACGATAGAGGCCCTCGAGTGGTTAATCACAAACGCCCTCGGACCCCTTCACCCTCCTTATCCTATCAAACCGAGAGTGTAGTGGAGGCAGACGATAGTGGCAACGATGATACAGAGCCTCCGGCTTCAAGAAGCAATCAACCCCCATCATCTGCCCCCGTGTTGTCCCCTCGCTGGAATACAGATCCCCACGCCGAAGACGACAGCGGCCTTCGAGTGGGTAATCACAAACGCCCTCGAATCGCTTCACCCTCCTTATCCTATCAAACCGAGAGTGTAATGGAGGCAGACGATAGTGGCAACGATGACACGGAGCCTCCGGCTACAAGGAGCGATCAACCCCCATCATCTGGCCCCGTTTTGTCCCCTCGCTGGAATACAGATCCCCAAGAAGTTTCTCGCCTCCTTTCCGTCATACAAACCAATTATCTATGGCGCCAAGCTTGTTTCCCTCACGGCGGCGCCTCTGGCTCGGAAGACTACAATGTCTATATTGAGATCTTCCTGCGGGCCTGCAAAGATGACCCCGTCATGGAAGTCGCAGCGAGGGAAGGTTTAGTCAAAAGGTTGGGAGGGAGCAATGGTGGAAAGTGGAGGTGGACCGCAACGGACAAGTTTGACAGTCAGGTAGAAAACCCTGTGAGAACGAAGACATCGTCGTAAGTGTCTGTCAACTTTGGTGATATAGCTGACGCTCATGTAGATTGATGAACGATTTCGTCACGGGTATATATGAAAGTGACCACGGCTTTCATCCTTCTTGGACGAAATGGACAGATGTGTGTGTGACCATCAGGGGTGAGTGATACATGGAAGTTAGATCTGGTTGTAGACACTAAGGCTGATACACCACGTAGAAGATCTCCAGGCCTTACACCCCTATTACTTTGAACTGCGCAGCCTAGTCAAGCCATCTTTGAAAGTCATTAATCTTCTCCGCAAATGCGGGCTGGTCATTGAGGGAGAGGCGGCACACGTGAGCAAGAGTGAACGCGCGGCAGCAGACCCTTCAACACCTGTACTGTCTCCTTCCTGGAATAAGTACAAGAAGACAGACACCTGGTACCTTATCCACTGTATTGACAAGTGTCCCCGATGGCGTCGGACCTGTTTCGGACCCAGCGGCAGCACTTCCGACTCCATATACAAAACGACCTGCCTTGAAATCTTCCTCTTTTTTTTCAGGAGTGATCCGGTGATGGAGCGGGCGGCGAAAGAAGGACTGGTCACAAGAGTGAATGGGGGCAGCGGGGAGAAGCCGTGGGCCGCGACCAAAAAGTTTGGGATTATTGGGGTGGTTAACCCGGTAGAGACAAAGTTAACGTCGTGAGTAGTCAGTAAGATCGTTCGACTACGACAGCTGACACAATGTAGACTCAAGAGAGACTTCGACGCGGGCCTGTACCATAGTCATTACGGTTTTGATCCAAATTGGAACAATTGGAAGAACGTGCCCAACGACATAATGGGTGAGTGTCCGCTATAGCAGCTGAGACGTTACCTTTGCAGCTGACAGCTGCGTAGGTGTGCTCAAAGCGAAACATCGTTATTACTTCAAATTGCGCAGGGTCATCGAAAAAGCCAACCGGCCCTCTGATACCGCAGTGTCCGAACGACCAAAGCGCAACCAGCAAAAGAACAACAAGCCGAAGGACAACCAGCAGAAAAACAAGAAGCGGAAGAACAAGAAGCAGAAGAACAAGAAGCGGAAGAAGCAGTAGAGCAGACCCAAGAAGAAGAGAAATAATACAAAGGACATGAAAGGGAAACAACAAGCCACGAAGCGCTGGAAGGTTTGTCACAATCACTGGGTCCTCTTCCGACTGTGCTAATGAATTACCGTAGAAGATACAAGCCGTGTACTCCAATGACAAATAGTCCTATATCTGGGCTATGGACAGCTAGGATCTGGCTGGCTCGGATGAAACAGAATAATCGTGCAGGCTGGAAATATGTGGAGGGGTGCCGGGTGCTCGAGAGTTGGCAGTAGAAGAACCAGGTTTTCGTTGTAGGAGATGTGAGCTTCTTGTATGCACGATGCCCGTGGACTGTTGTGATATGTCTGGTGTATGGTGGAGGTGACCTCTCTCCCGAGGCATCCGCAGCCTTCTCCCTTCTCAGAAGGTTTGCTACTTCGGTGAGACCAGGCAAAGCGTGGAAGATCAGCGGTGGTGAGGCGAGGTTCTTGAATGTTGATGATGTTGTAATACCATACGAGTAGTCTATTCAGGCTATACTTAGGCCAGCCTCCTCATGTATTACTTCACCAAACACGGAACATTTTTACATTGTGCATACGATCTGGCACTTGGCGTGCCACCTCTACGTGTGCAGCTCCCTTTCAAAATTCTGGCTAGCCGTCCATCTGATGCTGAATAGTCTAGACGGGTCACAAAGTCGCAGATTACGTGAGTAGGAATGCGATCGTGAAACTGGAGAAGGCGAGGAAGACGATTGAGAGGAAGACGAGTAGTCACAAAGGTCGTCGTCCTGTTTATATAACAAATGCATGAATCAACGCTAGTCAAGATATCAAAAGCCTGATAATCAGTCCTTCAACGTCGCGGGCTTCTTCCTGAGAATGGTATAGTATTACTCCATCAACCGTCTTCGATGCCGCCCAAGTTGTTGCGCTCGGGCCTCCGAGCTGCGGTGGAGATGTCCGCCTCAGCATCTCTCTTTTGCTGTCACTCGCTCGTCCATGCTACGAACGCCCTGTTTCTCTTTTCTACTCCACAAAAAAATGCCCTCTTCGACCACGGCAGCAGCGCAGGCCAAAAGCGTTCCCAAGCTAAACGTCGTCATTCGGTAAGCACCCTGATCCCTGCATTTCCATCCCTAACCGTTCATCGCAGCTGGATCGCGGACCCCCAACAGATCTGTCGCCTGCTTTCTATCATCAAGTCCAACCCCCTATGGCGTCAAGCATGTTTCCCTCAAGGCATCACCACCGTGCCCAAGCTATACAAGATCTATATCGACATTTTCCTCGTCTTCTGCAACAATGACCCAGCAATCAAGGCCGCGGAGAGGGAAGGACTTGTCCAGAGAGTGAAAGGCAGCGGTGGGAAGAAAAAATGGGAAGCGACGGAGCGATTCAGCAGTAGGGTGGGGAATCCCGTAAGGAGAAAGATAGACTCGTAAGTATCTGCCAGAGTCTTCAGCGTGTCCTCGCTTACACCTATGAAGATTGAAGAGCGCCTTGAAATCCGGGACGTACACCAGCACTCACAACTTTCGTCCGTCCTGGAAGAGATGGGACGACGTGCCTAATGGCATTAGGGGTGAGTTCTGGATATGAGTTCGAAGTGGTCAAATCTGAGGTTTTGACTGATATACCTCATAGCTACTCTCCAAGCCGAACATCCCTATTATTTTCAGCTATTGGAACTCGCCCAGTCATCCTTCCAGTTCGTTCTCCCCCCACGCTCCGCAAACGGCGAAGCATGCCAGTCTGGCCGCAAACGCGAACTTCAACCGTCCCTCGACGTCGAAGACGATAGAGGCCCTCGAGTGGGTAATCACAAACGCCCTCGAATCGCTTCACCCTCCTTATCCTATCAAGCCGAGAGTGTAGTGGAGGTAGACGAAAGTGGCAACGATGACACAGAGCTTCCGGCTACAAGAAGCAGTCCACCCCCATCATCTGCCCCCCTGTTGTCCCCTCGCTGGAATACAGATCCCCAAGAAATTTGTCGCCTCCTTTCCGTCATCCGATCCAATTATCTATGGCACCAAGCTTGTTTCCCTCAACGCGGCGCCTCTGCCTCGGACAACTACAAGGTTTATATTGAGATTTTCCTGCGGGCTTGCAGAGATGACCCCGTCATGGAAGTCGCAGCGAGGGAAGGTTTAGTCAAATGGCTGGGAGGGCAGTCGAGGTGGATCGCAACGCGCAAGTTTGACAGTCGGGTAGAAAACCCTGTGAGGACTAAGACATCGTCGTAAGTGTCTGTCAACTTTGGTGATATAGCTGACGTCTATGTAGCTTGATGAACGACTTTGTGACGGGTATATATGAAAGTGACCACGGTTTTCATCCTTCTTGGAAGAAATGGAAAGATGTGTGTTCGACCATCAGGGGTGAGTGGTACACGGAAGCTAAATCTGGTTGTAAAAGTAAGACTGATACACCACGTAGACGATCTCCAGGCCTTATGCCCCTACTACTTTCAGCTGCGCAGCCTAGTCAAGCCACCCTTGAAAGTCATTCGCAAATGTGCTGTGAGTTTTATCGGTCCTGTATCATCGAGTCCTACTGAGTCGGACCATGCAGCCTCTTCCAGAAGAGCAGCAGTATCAAAACAGGATTGATCAGAAGAAGGAGAAGAAGAAGAAGAAGAAGAAGAAGCCAGTGGACATCAACAAGGCCAAGGACAGCAAGAAGAAGCAGCGTGAATATTCTCGCAGGGTGAGTCATGCCTAATGACCTTCCTGGCCCTGCTTATGCATAATCGTAGGGTAGACGCAATTACGATGGGCGATGAGATACAAAAGCACTTGTCGGTTTGGGGAAGGAGAGATGAAGCACTCGGGAACGTGAGCTTGCACATTCTCCTCGGCGCGAGAGGTGGCAGGGTCGAGGTAGCGGGAAATGGATTGTGGTGTGGTATACTCCTCCAGACTGAGCCTATATTGCCTCTTATAACAACCATATCTTGCCAAAATGCGATACATGCAAGACATCAGAGAGAAAGCCGCTCAATCGTCCAGATCAAAAACCATATCGTCTTCGCTATCCTGCCCATTCTCATTCGAAACACCCGCCGCCCTCGATACCTCTTCTGTTACCGGTAAACGATGTGTCGAAGACTGGTATACAGTCTTTAGCGCTTCACACCTGGTAAGATGAAGAAGCAGACATGTACACCAGCTATGGAAAAAGTACCACCAACAATTTCGTCTAGAATAGTTCCGTCACCTTACGTAACCTCCCACGTCACTCTAGCTACTGCCTGAACGCCAACTCCAACACGATGGTAGAGAAGGGCAACTCGTCCGGGAGGCCGTGCGGTGTACCTGTACCTGCAATCTCGCAATTTTTCTGTGCATGGTCGCTTTGTGCCCTCGCTTTACACCTCCTGCCTGTCGGTGGGGGACCACAAGACTAATGTCGCCAGACGACTCGCCTTGCGCGAAATGCTCGCCGCCCCCAAGCATAACCATCTCAGACCTCCCTCCCCTCCCTCCCGAAATCATCTCTATGATCTTCCGTCACTTCTTCTTCCTCAATCACCGGTACTGCAATCGCCACCATATCCAGTTCATGCGCCTCTCCCGAGCCTTCTACGCCCATCACGCCAGGAAGCTATACGAGCAGGTCGAGATCGACGACGCAAATTGCGATAGCTTTCTGGAGGGGATATGGAAGCATACATCGCCAATATCCCGACGCGATCCTCTGTCGTTTGGCGGGTGTATTCTGCTATCCGGGACCGATGGGAGACCTGTTTGGCCGAGTAGCCTCCACAAGCAGTTGTACTCTTACTGCCCCTCTCAGCCCGGCGGGGCAGGCGAGCCATTGCTCTATGTCTCGCCAGGCTCCCAGACAGGGGGTCATGCTGTGGTACCTTTCAGTCTTGACCCATTCATTCGCAAGATACTCCTTCTACGACAGTGCCGCAAAATCAGTATCAACAGCCGCGGCGCTCTCGACTTGCTACGTCACGCCGGCGGCCACGTCCAAATGAGGATCAGCACGCTGCCAAAGGTGGTCGGGGTATGGAAGAAGGAGCGTTTCCCTGTCATGAGCTGGCTGAAAGAGCCATTGCTCTCTTCTGTTTCCCATGTGGCGCTCGGGCGAATTTCCAAGTCGCTCACCTATCCTGCGCCAGTGGACTCGCCTCTGTTTGGACCAGAGCTCAAGCATATATGCGTGAGCCCTTCCAGAGGATTCTACGAGAATTACCCCAACGCCTTCTGGGTACCTCTGCGTCGCCAAATCGTCACGAGCTTCATTCAACAAGCGCCCTCTTTTGCTACTGGTCCCAACAAGGACAACTTGACCTCCTTCACTCTCCATCAGAACGCCAAGCCTGGGAGTACCCGCGATTCACTAGCTGATACCATGATATACGACTTGCCCAGGAAGAGAGCGTTGCGCAGGTGGAAAGTGCAGGTACTCATGACTATGCCGGTGATGAGCAAACATTTGAAAGAGTTGAGGGGTGCAGTGGCCAGAGGTCAAGTCGGGCCTGAAGGGCAAGTCGATAGGACCATTGCCACATAGCAGGTGCTGATGGGTCTTTTAGTTGGACGCCGGGGAAGAAACCATGGCGAATCCGGGTCAGAAATATGGCTCCCCACCCTCCCGACGCCGATGTCCCGAAAATCATCTTGAAGGCCTTTGCACGGGAAAACGAAGCGTTGGATGAGGAGTGCGAGGCGCTTTTCAGAAAGTGGTTTGGCGAAACGGTCAGCTTTGAGGAGGCGCGTGTTTGTGATTGCTGTGGCGTGTTTCAGAAATTAGAGGAGGCTGCTGTGAGTTTTATCGGTCCTGTATCATCGAGTCCTACTAAGTCGGACCATGCAGCCTCTTCCAGAGAAGAAGGAGAAGAAAAAGAAGAAAGAGCGGAAGAAGGAGAAAAGGAAGAAGAAGCCAGTGGACATCAAAAACGCCAAGGACAGCAAGAAGAAGCAGCATAAAGATTCTCGCAAGGTGAGTCATGCCTACTGACCTTCCTGGCCCTGCTTATGCATAATCGTAGGGTAGACGCAATTACGATGGGCGATGAGATACAAAAGCACTTGTCGGTTTGGGGAAGGAGAGATGAAGCACTCGGGAACGTGAGCTTGCACATTCTCCTCGACGCGAGAGGTGGCAGGGTCGATGAATGGATTGTCATGTAGTATACTCCTCCAGACTAGCCTATATTGCCTTATAACAACCATATCTTGCCAAGATGCATGCAAGAAAACAGCCCTCAATCGTCCAGATCAAGAACCATATCGTCTTCGCTATGCTGCCCATTCTCAACAGCCGCCGCCCTCGGTACCTCTTTTACTGGGCTGACACTCCTCTCCTTTTCCCTCTCATCCTCGCCCCTCCTGAACTTGCTCCTCTCTGCCGTTCGATCATGCTGCGACCGGTCATGCTGCCATCTATCCATATCCTTGTCCAACGAGCCCATATCAGGACGACTGAGACGGGTATCACGGTGCGGCGGGCGATCGCGGTCGACTCTGGGGCCAAAGCCCGGGCCGGGGCCGTTGGGTTGATGACGAGGTCGACCGGGGAGGTGGGAGTAGGTGGGGGCGTTAAAGTTGCGGGGAGCGCGGTGGGCGATTGTCTCTGGGTCTCGGAAGCGCATCGCACCTCGACCTATTTCGTGTCAGCAACTATCCAACTAGGCCGATAGCTGGACTCGCCCTTGTAGACGATACCCCCATCATCCTTGATCCTCTGCCTCTCCTCCTCCAGCCTTCTCTTTGTCTCTGCCAACTTTTCCACCCTCTGCTTTTCCAGCATCTCCTTCTCTTCTCTTTCCAGCCGCTCATCAAGCTCCGCTTCCGTCTCTTCCCTATCCCGGCGCGACGACTTTTTGCCCTCCTTCTCTCGGCGCTCCCTCTTTTCCCGCTTGCGCTCTTTACGCTTCCTGCGGTACTCGCGCGAATCGTCCGAGCCGGCATCTTCCGAGTCGCTATACCTTCTTCTCTTTGGTTCAGGTGATCGGGATCGGGAGGGGGTAGGTGAAGGAGAGCGGGGCTTGGCGGCAGCAGGAGGTCGACGCAGTTCGAGCTCGCCGCAATGGATGATGGTCACGGGGGATAGCGGTCTGTCTCTGTCATCCGTCGGGAGATTGCCGATAGCATCGATATGTTCCATCCCAAAGACCACTCGGCCAAACACTCTACACCAAAGCGCATCAGTAACAGGGTCGGGAAGAAAAGGAAGGAAACGTACACATGTTTACCGGTCAGATGCGGCGAAGGCGCGAGGGTGATGAAGAACTGCGACTTGTTGGTATCCGGTCCCCTGTTGGCCATCACCAGCAAGCTACGTCCATTGTCAGCTCTGGCTTCTCACTTTTCCAACCCCACTTACCCCTTCTTGTCGACCTCACATCCATCACCTTCCAGCCTTTCATCCTCAAAAGTGCCCCCGCCATATATACTCTCTCCGCCAGACCCGGTACGCTTTGTAAAGTCGCCACCTTGGATCATGAATGAGGGGATGACACGGTGGATGATGGACGATTTGTAATGCAGGGGCAGAGAGGAGATGGGCGAGATGCCCTTTTCACCTGTGCAGAGGGCTCGGAAGCTGCCAAGAGGTCAGTCAGCCTGGATCAGGTGTCGGGGGGTGGGCGTACTTTTCAGCAGTCTTTGGGACACTTGGGAGTGTCAGTAAAGGACAATAGTAGATGGGACAGCTTACACGTCCGCAAAGAGCTCGAACTGTCAAGGGGTCAGCACATGCTACAGCGGCGGGGGAGGACGTACGACTACCCGGCCGAGCTTGCTGTCGTGGACTGCGAGGTCGAAGAAGACGCGAGGATTGGCCGCCATGTGCGTTTTTATGGTAGATATACTGCAACGAAGAATGCTGAATGCAAGAGATGATGGCAATATCGCCCATCCCATTTCAAGCCGTTTTCCCCGAAACACAAAAACGGCCCAGTCCAAAAGCTACATCTTGCGCATCATATTCACATGCTATATACACAGCCTGATCCCCTCCAACACCACCTCCTTGTCCTCCGCCGAGTCTGTGAACAGAAAGAACTCTTCATCACCCTTCTCGGGCAAAGACGAGATGAGCTTGAAACTGTCTTTGACTTGGGATTCTTCGTATGCCTCCGAGATCGTCGTGGAGGGACCAAAGAATATCGTCTGTATGGGCTTGGCGTCCTGCATAAAAAAGTGTTCAGTGTGGATTGACAGAGTGGCGGTGGATGGAACGTACACTTTCGTTTTTGAACAGTCTCATTTCAGTCGGCAAGAGTTGAAAGTGGCGGCGTCGCCATGTCATCGATTTGTACGTCTGCGCCGTCACCCACTGCCCCTAGCGTCAGCTCCATCTTGATTAGGAATGTGATAAACGGGCTCACCCCTCTGAGCATCACCCCGCCATCCCTCTTGCCCGACAGGAGCCCATCCTTGATCGCCTGCTTTTTCGCCAACTCTCCCTCCATCCTCTGCCTCTCTGCCTCCTCTTCCGCCCTCTTCTTCGCCGCCAAAGCTTCTTCCTCTACCCGTTTTCTCTCTTGTTCCACCTGCAAACGCGCCCGCTCTTCCTCTTCCAACCTCTGACGCTCGGCTTGGGCAGCTTCCACCTTTGCCCGCTCTTCTTCTTCCACTTCCAAGCGTCGGCGCTCTTCCTCTTCTGCCAGAACGCTCAGCTTCTCCTCCTCAGCCAAGCGCCTCTCCTCTTCTTCCTCCTCCCTCCTCCTCTCCCTCTCCCTCTCCTCTCCCTCCTCCCTCCTCCTCTCCCTCTCCTCTTCCTCCCTCGCCTTCTCTTCCGCCCATTCCACTTTCCTCCCTGCCGGATCTTCAGCCCCAGCCCCAGCCCCAGCCTCAGCCTGAGCCTCTCGAACAACCCCCTCCTCCCCCTCCCCCTCTCGCTCAGTGTCGGTGTCGGTGTCGGTGTCGGTATGCAGAGCAGACATTCCATCACGCATCATAGCCATAGCCATACCTGCCTGCCGGCCTTCTTCCAGCTCGCGCGTTCCCGTTTCCGTTTCTCTCGTTTCCGCTCCAGGCCCAGGCTCCGGCTCTGGGAGACCCTGTCCACCCGGCGGGGGAGGGGGAGGCGGAGGCGAAGGGAAAGCGCCCCTCCCAATAAGCCCCCGCGACGTCGCAGGATCAGGATCATGATCAGGATCATCACCACCCAACCCACCACCCCACCCCCCACCACCCGGCACCGGCACCGGCACGTCATCTACAGGCGATACCGGCAGTGCATCCAGCGACGGTACACCCACCCTCTCCCCCTCCACCGCTCCCTCCCTCTCACCCTCCCTCTCCCTCGCCCCCCGTGTCGGTGTGGGGTTGACCCTCTCATCCTCCGTATCCGTATCCGTATCCGTGGAGGGATCATCATACGCCAGCCGGGTACTACTCTCATACCCATCACTACCCCCTTTCCCTTCCCCTTGCCCGCGCCCTCCTCCTTGCCCTTCCCCGCGCCCGTCATCCTCCTTCTCCTTCTCCTTCTCCTCCTGATCCTTCTCCTTCTCCTTCCCGCTCAAACTCAAATCCCGCCTAAAAGCCTCTTGTATCTCGCGCTCCCTATCCAACCGCTTCTCCCGCGCCTCATACAAGACTTGACGAGCAAAAGGCGAAGGCGAAGGCGAAGGCGAAGGCGAAGGCGAAGGCGAAGGCGAAGGCGAAGGCGAAGGCGAAGGCGAAGGCGAAGGCGAAGGCGAAGGC